TTTTTCAGGGTTATCAAATCAATTTATATTATATTAGACAATGGAAGTCCGAACTGAGGAGATTTATCGGTTGGCTTCGAGATTTGATCTAAATGGTGCATGTTTACGTATCGTCATTCTGAAAGAAATGGTGAATGAGACTAGAAAAATTGATGAAGTTGTAGAAATATTCAATCCACTCACCCTCACTTTTTTTACTTGTAATACATTCAATATATCCTTGAATAACTGGGGGGAGCATGATGCTCCTCCTGTGAGTGCCATTTCAATATGTAAATTTTCTTTTCTTTTTTTCTGTAGGTCAATCAAGTCTACATACATCGTTGGTGTGCCGTAAAGTATAGTGCATCTGCAAAGTAAATAGAGTAAATGACCTGCAAAATGTATTAAAACCAAGAAAATTTGAATTAATAATAATCTAAAAATGGATTAATTAGTATCGATATAAGAATAATATAATCTGATTTATAGAGACGGCATCATCCTTCGAACAATTTGTTGGCGTCTCCTGAAGATGGCCACTTGGTCGGCTTCAATAGTAGATTTCTAGCGGAGAAATTGAGTTTAAAAAAATATAGAACCTCCATGTTATTACGGCGGTTGGGACAAACGTATTCGATCGCCCCAGGTCCAGTTACATAATTTATTCATTAACACAATCTGACTATTGCCGTTTTTTGAAAACCTCAATTAGGCTGGGCTGATCCTCATTTCAATAAAAAATCGCATATAGCTGTAAGTATTACTGGGCAACGACATATTTATCTACATTTTTAGGTACGGAAAAGTTTCGTTGGATGAAAACAAACCGGTTTATTTAAATACAGTTTTTGAATGGGTTCTCATGGGTAAATGCCAAAAATGTTCACACATTTTTTTGCTACAGCATTATATCCAACTTCAGTTATGTAATATAACAAAACCTCTGGAATCTAGAGGAGATACAAAATATTGAGTGAGGCAATTTATTCTGAAGATACATTTTATAAGAATTACTTCATTTAAACTACTATTCAATATTCTGATGGAAGATATGTAGTCTTTCTGCCCTTCAAATCAATCTATCTTGATTTTGGAAATACCAGAGAGGTTGCCTTTAGGCGTTTACTTTCTTTGGAAAACCTTTTTTTCAGGACTGAAAATCACGTATAACCGGATAGTTGCGTAGTAAGCATGCCGTGGCGACGGGTCGTCAAGCGCAAGCGACTGTGCGATTCTCTTTCCACTGGTTCGGCATTACGCTATCTTTCTCGTCGCACTGACCTTGTATGCCTATAATGTATTTAGTTGTTTGTCTGACAGTGAAAATTTAGAAAGTGAAAGTGAGCAGCCTAATGCAAAGAAAGCAAAAAATCACACTTCAACACATTATTGTGTAATCAATAAGTTGATTATATCTTCATATTTTATAATTAAAGTGTGCATTTATCTGTGCATTAAGTCCGCGTAAAACTGGTTTGTCTCAAGGGCTTGTAAAATTAATGTAAAATTAACTCTCTTGGTAGGTTGAAATTTACACAATTTTCATAGCATATAATACTTTTAAATCAATTATTATTCAATTTTAATTTCATTCATGTGAAAAATAATGCACTAAACCATTTGCTTGAAGAAATGTCATTAAGACTGATATAATTGTATTTTAAAATCAGCGAGTAGCACACGAATGGTTTTTTATCTTTTATCGACAGAAATATCAAAAAATCAATTGAATAAGGGTAGAATTTTTATTGAAACATTTATTATTGATATTTCTTTCACAGTAAATTCTTGCCCATTTTTGGTCCTTAAACAGACGCATACCTCTTCTCCTAATCTTGCATGCGGTAGGCCAATCACCTATAAGAAATAAATCTTAATTAATGAAACGGGATATTTCTTAAGAGTATGTGAATAACTATTGCCCATAATTTTGGTGTACAAGAATGGTCTACAAAATATTTCACTCTCTATTTGGATCACATTCAATAACAAATTTCATACATTCAATTGTTCTTTCAAGGAAAGTTTAATTGAATTTTGACACTTTTATTTTTCATAGGGGATGGGATGTTTACAGAAGGTAGTTTAAGAAAAAAAGCTGTAGTCATTCTTGAACTCTGAAATTAACAAAATATATATTTGAAAATCAGATTGTAATGTCAGTACTCACATGTGATTCCAAAATATCTGGATGGGTATTCAAATAATCTTCAATTTCTTTAGGATAAATATTTTCACCTCCTCGAATTATCATTTCTTTGAATCTGCCCACAACCACCCCATAACCATCCTCAGTAAAAATAAACTGATCCCTAAAAGTGGCAAATAATATGCATATAATAGTGTTCTGCCTTTTCTGAAATAATTTCACAATTTTATTTGTGGTCTTTACAAATCGTCTATGACACCTTTTACCGTAGATTATATATATACTTAATGAATTACCCTGTTCTCAGCCATCCATCATATCCTTTAACTTCTTTAGTTTTTTCTTCATCTCCATAATACTCCAATAACGTCGAATAACCTCGTATACACAATTCGCCAGGTACACCAATGGGTACAATTTGACCTTTCTCATCTATTATTTTGGCTTCTAAATGTTCTTGTAGAGGTCCTACTGTTGAAGTAGATCTAAGTTCATCATCATCTTCCAATGATTGGAAGGCACTAGCTGTACTTTCAGATAGTCCATATATTGACTAAAATATGTATATTGGAGTTTAAGAAAAAATTATTTGTGATCGTATGGAAATGAGGTTGATGTTGAATTAGCTATACCGTCGCATTTTTACGTTTCCTACACCGAGAACGCTACTAGTTGCGCTGACGAGCTAGGAAATGAGTGCCAAACACTCCGTTCCCTAGATAGTGGGTACAACGCCACGTGCTTTATTATTTCGCCCGTTTTTTGCTCTGCTGCAATCCACATACCATATTTATTCATTTGCTATGGTGCCAGTTTGTCATCCACGTATAAGTTAGAAAAGTTATTTCACATATTTTGTTCGTTTTGTGAAAGTAGGCTTGTCAATATGAATCAGGGCGGAGAAAAGACTGTAATTGAAGCTATAAAATGGTTTGATAGTAATATCAGAATGATTGACATCGATCAAAACATTTTCATTCTAAGAACCAACATCGAAAGAGATGTAGATATTACTGCAAAAAATTGTATTAAAAACTTTTCTAAAGCTACTGCACAGAGTGAATTGTAAACAGAACATATCCTGAAATAAAAAACTACAGTATCGAAAAGATTGGGTTTATCGGTACAATGCTAAAAATAAGGAAACAAAAACAAGCAGCGCCAGGAAAAGAAACAGGAACTACGGCGCCAAAACCTTTATCAAGGTTAAAAATAAAAACAGATTTTCAAGATGCAGGGATCCCTTGCCTAAGGAAGGCTTAAACACCATTGTAGAAGTAAGTTTGTTTGAAGTTGTAATATTATAACAACAATATTAATTTACTAACTTTTAGTTGCATCTTACGCATCGCCACAGAGTTACGGTGGCAAAAGCCTACTAAAGAGTAAGCTCATTTACGAAAGATCAATTTTTAAAGTACTTCAGTGAAGGATTGACTCCTAGCGAAGCCAAAAATGTCCATAAGTCGACACTAATGGCTACCACTTCAAGTGATAAAATATATGAAACTGTTGCCAATACCCAAGTAAATCATATGAAACGATCAATTTGTCATTTGTATGAACAATGGAGGTACGTTCACTGAAAGAAATTTTCTGTACGATAGAGAGATTTTTTACAGCAGCAAAATCGATATAGCAAAGTGTTTTTTAGCCACCAAAAAGTAGTTATTTAATAGTGGTAGCAGCAATTACTTTTCAAACAGAATTTTCTCAGTATATTTCTGTTAAAATTTGTTTCCAATTATAACTTTTATAAATATGCGACTCTTCTCTGCAGGAAAACAAATTATGGTGAAAGAACGAGCAAAAGCGTTTTTGAAAAGCTGATGGAGAAGAAGGCACATTTTGAAGGGAATGGAACAAGACGTTTATAAACGACGAGCCGTTTAGCTATGTTGTGGTAACGCCCTTATTGCTAAGAAAATCGAAACTATTGAAAATGTTGAGTCGTTTGCCAATATCTGCACAAGCATTTGTAATTTAAAAAAACGAGAAAGATGTCCAACCTACTTCTATTGCACGCCGGGCAAATAAAAGTTTACATGCTGGCGCTAGAGCAATACAGGCAGGTAGGCCTTCAAAGTTGGAAGTTTCAAGAAACAAAAAGAAGAGATAAAAAAAAAGATATCATTAAGTAGAAATATTGAGCTCAATCAACCAATTGCTATCGGTCATGGAAGTAAACATTAAAATGTGCTACCTGTATACATATTTCTCTATTTATTCATATTTATTAAATAGGTGTTTGTTTATTAAGTACCTATTACACAATGTTACCTACTATCAGAATGTATGTATATGACAGATTTAATTGATATTATACATTATAAATTATTACCCAGCTTGTTTTTATTACTTTTAGAAAAAACCTACTATCTACTACTACCACTATGACCTACTGTCAGGCATTTTGAGTATCAATCACGCATTGTTGCGCCCACTGTCTAAGAAACGGAGAGCTTGGCACGCAGTACAATTCCTAGCTCGTCAACGCAACCAGTAGCGTTCACGGTGTAGGAAACGTAAAAATGCATACTTTTCATCGGCATAGATAGATAATTTTAATGACTATTTTCAAAGAACATTTCAGTTTTAAATAGTTATGTTCACCACCCAAACCCTTAACTGGTAACGTGCCGTCTGTGGGATTGCGCTCAAATTTATTTTTAGGATGATTGCAAAATGGTAAATTTCTAGAACCAATAAATTCATCTAATCCTTGAGCTAGTCAAACTGTATGTCTACGCAAACGACGAGTTCAAGACAGGCATGCAACCCTTCCATAGTTGTCGGATTTCATGGGTTTCACCCAACCTACTGTGAAATGAAAATATATTTTGTCACATCCGAATATGAACATCTGCCGATCCCATGAATTTTTAAAATCTACTTGAAACATAGTTCATCATTGTGGCACGTTACCAGATGTGTTCTAAAATTTGACGTTACCACTTAAGGGTTAATACACTGTTGATTCCGATCTCATCTATTGAACTTGAGACAATTAATATTATTGAAGACAGAGCATGTAGCTCCTGGCTGACTGAATTTTAGTTCCCAAAATTACATGGTTTGGAAGATATTGCATACATAGATAAACTCTATGATCTAGAAGTTCCTGTAAAATACATATCTCGTCGCATTCGGAAAAGATGGATATTTGTATAGAGGCAATGACCCAAAAATATATTTGACCTTTATATTGCCCAGCAGGAGGAATCACTTTCATTTAGACTAGAATAATGAACATTTTTTATATATGTTGAATAAAAGAAAGTTTCAAACCTACTGAATTATTATATGACACTCTGAGAAATGTTGTTAATTAAAAAGCTTCTAGTGAATAGATTTCATACCGTAATTAAGAATTTCAACTTCCAATTTGAACGAATGCTGGAAATTTCAAGTTGCGAGATGTCAGGGTTGAAAATTATTACAAAAAATGTATTTACAAAATTATAGGTGCTGACGAATTTTATGAAATTGATCCANCCATCGACAAAGATTTGTAGGTATAAATATAAGCATAACTAATGGTGTATAGATAAAAACTGGCAATTAATAAAGGTTTGAATAAAACAGGAACAAATACAATAAAAATAAATATAAAATGGAATACAGGTTTCAAAATGATTCATTAAAATACTCTTGCAAGCTATAATAGGGTCTATCAGCTAGCAAATTTCTAACTGCTTTCTTGAATTGTACGTTGGTACAATTCTCGATGTTTCGATTGTTAGTATCCACAATCGTCTTCGGGTATATTCCTCCGAGATCTGACTATTTATAGGTCATTTGAGTGCTTTCACCTATCCCCTCTCTCCGCTTCATCGGTTTTAGCGGAAACTGACCGTTTGGCGGGAGTTGGTCGTGTTCCGCTTGATTTGAGGTTTTCCTATGTTGCGTATCTCTACGCTAGCTTGGCTAAATGCGTTGTTGGACAACATACTCATATATGCGACTTCTTTGAATTTTCTCCTAAACCAGTGTTCCTCCTTGTGGATGATTTCAGCTTGAGCCTACTTCATGTTATGTTGGTGAGTCCAAACATGCTTTGCTGTTCCTGATTTGCTGGTTTCTCCTCCCTGTGTGTGTTTCTTGTGCTCGGCAATGCGAACTTTCAATGGCCTCTTAGTTTCTTCAAATAACATCACGGAAAGTCCAGAATGTGAGGTCAGAACACCTGAGAAGCTATTGAATATACATTACTTTTCATTCACCATTGAACAATGTTACCAGGAAGTGATAAAAAAATTTATAATTCTGAAACAGTGTTCCACCTTGATGAAAATACAAATTGAGGACAAGTTTATCGATGAAAGTGTTCAGAATCAGTCAGGAACTATGGAACGCCGTTTTACTTTTTATTGTCACAAATATTCATTCCTCAATTTATTCAACTAACAATGTATTTGTTTGAATTTAATTGATTCATGCATTTGTTCGACACATTAAAAACGATTGTTCCCAAAATTTGTTCTATTTTAAATGACACTTGATTTAAAATGTTACATGAATTAATTTGTTTGATGAAAAGTTGCGAACAGTTATAATATAGATTCATTGTTTGAAATTTTTGGAAGTAAATGTTTGTCATATATACT